CTGGGTTCTCAATTCTATTCCATTGGTCTATGTATCTGTGTATGACAAGTTTTTTTGATCTATCAAATATTACATGATAAAAAATAAAAATAATTTCCTTCCTTGATCACCTCTCCCAAATATTTTCAGGTACCTCGAAAGAAAGACCTGACAATCTGTTTCCAAAAAATCAGCCACTGAAAATTCTATGGTACACAGTCCTATTCTGATACACATGAGTTGGAACTGACTCAAATGACATCTGGCTTGGTTTTTGGTTTGAGGGGACACTGCTTCCTAAGGTTGGATCCTAATGTGGCAGAGATGCTTTGTGTTCATCACATGGTGTTCTCATTCTGAGCACCAGGTAGACCTTTGCATCCTGCATTGCAGTTAGGTTGGGATCATGTGACTGGACTCTGGCAGATGGAAAGGGTGTGGAAGTGATGAAGACCACTTCCAGATATGGCCCTCTACAAACACCTTTATGACCCTCAGTTTTCTTTGCCAGCTGTGGCAAACTTGAAGGCCATATCATCTAGATGGTGCGGTTATCTAATGGAAGAGGGGCACCCCACGTACATTAGATTTTGCATGATTGGGAAGGAAATCTTTATTGTTAAGGCATTAAGATTGATGGTTTAATCATTACCAAAGCATAGCCTGGCATTCCTCAAGCTGAAGGAACTGAAGGAAAATTTAAGCCTTGAGTTGCGATATTGAAGGATTCTATGTGCAAAATATTAAATGAAAGAGGAAGCATCTAAAGAAAATGGAAAGAACACACAGAATCACTGTATCAAAAAGAATCGGTACATGTTCAACCATTTCAGGAGATAGCATATAATCAAGAACTGATAGTATTGAAGGAAGAAGTCCAAGCTGCACTGACAGCCTTGGTAAAAAATGAGGCTCTAGGAACTGACAGAATACCAACTGAGATGTTTCAAATAATGGATGCTATGCTGGAAGTATTCACTTATCAAAACCAAGAAACTTGGAAGACAGCTACGTGGACAGCTGAGACCGATATGTCTGCCCATTCCAAAGAAAAGTGGTCCAACAGAATATGGAAATTACTGAACGATATCATTAACAGCACACAGAAGTAAATTTTTGCTGAAGATAATTAAAAAATGGTTGCAAAGGTACATTGACAAGGAACTGCCAGACATTCAAGCCAGATTCAGGAGAGGGTATGGAATCAGGGATATCACTGTTGATCTCAGACAGATCTTGGCTGAAAGCAGAAAATACCAGAAAGATATTTACTTGAGTTTTACTGACCATACAAAGGCATTCAAGTGTGGATCATGACAAATTACAGATAACATTGTGAAGACTGAGAATTCCAGAACATTTAATTGTGCTCATGCAGAACCTGTATATAGATAAAGAAGACTTGAAGCATTTACTGATGAAGATCAAAGACTACAGCCTTCTGCATGGACTACACCTCAACATAAAGAAAACAAAAGTCTTCACAACTGGACCAATTAGCAAGAGCCTGATAAATGGAGACAAGATCGAAGTTGTCAAGGATTTCATTTTACTTCGATCCACAATCAATGCCCATAGAAGCAGCAGTCAAAAAGTCAAACGACTTATGCATTGGGAAAATTTGATGCAAAAGACCTCTTTAAAGTGTTAAAAAGCAAAGGTGCTACTTTGAGGACTAAGGTGTGACTGACCTAAGCCATGGTATTTTCAAATGCCTCATATGCATATG